TAGGTTGAACACTTTTTTTTTTGGTTTTGTTTAAGATTGTTGAAGCCAGTATGGATTTTCAGATTCAGGGTTGGTCACATTACAATCTATTGGCTTATTTCTTTCTATAGTATGGTTTGAACATTTGTGTTCTTGAGAAGCAATAAGTTGTTAGTTTGACAAGTGCTAAATATTCCAATTGTGTAAGATTTCCACTACTGTTTGTATTAGAAAGGTTAAATTGAGGTGTGAATTTCATCAAATTGTTTATAATTCAGCTTGAGCTAAATTGAGATTTGAACGCTGCATAGCCTTATCCTTATGTTACTAATTCAATTAAATTCAAAACAGTGTTTCTTTTAGATGTGTGATATGGTTATCTGGGCGTTGTAGCATTTAGAGCTTTGTACATCATATTGTTGCATGTTAATCAGAGTCAAATGGGCTCAACTAGCTTTCTTAGGCTTCAGATGTTTCCTCCGCTCTGTTTGGACTCGATCTTGAGTCCCACGCCCCTCAGCCTTTTCTTTTCATCAGAATTAGCTTACTTTGGGTCTGGATTTTGGTGTCGTTTGGAGATGGGCGGACGTTTGCTTAATCTCATTCCTTGGGCTCGCCTTCGAGCCTAGTTCTCTTTTTAAACCATTTATGCGGATAAAAGCCCAAAACAGACGTGGCCCAAATACTTAAAGGCCTAGTACAAATACCATTTTCCTTTCAGCTAATAGTTGTGCAAGAGTGGCCTCATATTACGTTGGTTAGAGTAACTCTTTTAATTAGATTGAGGTGTGCCATTTAATTAAATCACTTATGACCCTCACCAATGCTGTAATTAGATTATTAAGAATAAACATCCGTAGAAATGTTTCTTTTAGGCACGCATTTAATCAAACTATCGTGGTTGTGTACACGTTCGCGTGACATAATTACGATTCTAAAAACAAAACTGGAGTATACGTTCGCGCAACTTCGACCAAACTTTCTTAATAATAATAAAGCGTTATTAATTGTGGACACGTTTGCGTGACATAATTTTTGATGCGCCAAACAAATGGGTACACGAACGCGTGACCTGTTTTAAGATAATTTCTTAGTTAAAAGAGGCAAATGCACATAGGTTCTAAAATGAGTAATTAGACAATTTAATAAGCCAAGTATGATCAAAACGATCGTGCTAGAACCACGGAATTCGGGAATGCCTAACACCTTCTCCCGGGTTAACAAAATTCCTTATCTGGATTTCTGTGTTCGCAGACCATAAGATAATAGTCAACCTTCCTCGATTCAGGATTTAAACCGGTGACTTGGGACACCATAAATCATCCGAAGTGGCGACTTTGATTTCTAAATAAAATAATCCCATTTTGATTGTCACTTAAATTGGAGAAAACTCTCTTATACCCTTTCCGGTAGTAGGTAAAAGGGAGGTGTGATAGCAGGTAACCTAAGATCAAGTGGGGTAACTTGACCAAGCACAAAGCTCAGGAGTTAGGGGAGAAGTTATTGTCTATGAGGGCCTGGATAAGTAAGGGTACGCGTCTAGTATGTGATTCACGACTGCAGATTGCGTTAGGGTAGCTGCTAGAGAGTTCTTAGGGGTCACGAAGAGCTCTCCTGGGGGTCATAAAGGGGACTGGTGGTGGAATGGAGAGGTTCAAGGTAAAGTAGAAGCTAAGAAAGCTACTTATTTGAAGCTAGTAAAGAGTACAAACGAGGAGGAAAAAAGGGCTTATTGGGAGTGTTACAAAAAGCAAAGAAAGAGGCGAAGTTAGCAGTTACGATGGCTAAGAACGAGGCGTTTGCTCGTTTGTACAAGGAGCTCGAGGGCAAAGGCGGGGACAAGAGGTTGTACCGGTTGGCCAAGGTGAGGGAGAGGAAAGCTCGCGACTTAGACCAAGTCAAGTGCATCAAGGATGAGGATGGAAAAATGTTAATGGACGATGCACTTATTAGGAGAAGATAGCAGACATACTTCCATAAACTGTTGAATGAAGAGGGGGATAGATGCATTGTGTTGGGTGAGTTGGAGCACTCCGAGAGTCGATGGGATTTTGGGTACTGTAGGTGGATTACGATAAAGGAGGTGGAAGGGGCGATGTGTAAGATGTGCAGGGGCAGAGCGATGGGGCCAGACGAAATCCTGGTGGAATTCTGAAAGAGCGTGGGGCGGGCATGTTTGGAGTGACTTATTGGGTTGTTTAATGTTATTTTTAAGACAAAGAAGATGCCCGAAGAATGGAGGTGGAGTACAATGGTTCCGCTTTACAAGAACAAGGGTGATATCCAAAATTGCAATAATTATAGGGGTATCAAGTTATTGAGTCACACTATGAAGGTTTGGGAGAGGGTGGTGGAGGCCAGGGTGAGGAGGTGCGTGTCTATTTCCGAGAATCAGTTTGGATTTATGACGAGGCGTTCGATTACGAAAGTGATTCATCTGGTAATGAGATTAGTGTATCTGTACAGGGAGAGGAAGAAGGATTTGCATATGGTGTTTATTGACCTTGAGAAAGCATACAATAAAGTTCCGAGGGAGGTCTTGTGGAGGTGTTTGGAGGTTAGCGGTGTTCCAGTAGCGTACATTAGTGTGATTAAGGATATGTATGATGATGCTAAGACTCGGGTGAGGACTGTGGGTGTTGACTCAAAGCATTTCCCTATGGTGATGGGGTTGCACCAGGGATCGGCTCTTATCCCATTTTTATTTGCCTTGGCGATGGATGTAGTGTCGCGTCACATCCAAGGGGAGGTGCCTTGGTGCATCTATGTTGCATGGGGCTGAGTGTTGGCCAATCAAGAACTCCCACGTGCAGAAGATGAGAGTAGCAGAGATGAGTATGTTGAGATAGATGTATGGATGTACCAGGAGAGATAGGATTAAGAATGAAGCTATTCGGGACAGAGTGGGAGTAGCCTCCGTGGAGGACAAGATGCGGGAGTCGAGGCTGAGATGGTTCGGACATGTTAAGAGAAAAATCATTGATGCTCTTGTTAGGAGGTGTGAGAGGTTGGCCATGGAGAGTTTGAGAAGAGGTCGAGGTAGGCCTAAGAAGTATTGGGAAGAGGTGATTAGGCAGGACATGGCACTGCTTCAGCTCACTGAGGACATGACCCTTGATAGGAGGGTATGGAGGTCGATGATTAAGGTAGAAGGTTAGTAGGAAATTTATAGTTGTTCATCCATAGTCTTAGTAGCATGCATGTCCCTTCATATTCTTAGATTTTTATTACGTTATGTGGTTTTGTTCGCCTCAGGTATTGTATTCTCTATTGCTATTATTTGGTACCACTTATCCTTTATCTCTCCCTTTTTCTTTTATCTTCCATCTTTCTTTCTTCCTTGATTTCCTCTTCTTCTTGTTGCCCTTCCTGAGCCGAGGGTCTATTGGAAACAGCCTCTCTACCTGTATTAGGTAGGGATAAGGTCTGCGTACAGACTACCCTTCCCAGACCCCACCTTAGGGGTGGGCATTTACCGACCGAACCGAAAAAACCGGCCGAACCGTGAATTTAGGTTTTTCGGTTTTGGTTTTTCGGTCGGTGCACGGTTTGAAAATTATTAATTTTCAATTTTTCAGTGCGGTTTACGGTTTTTGTATTTTGGTTTTCGATTAAACAGAAAAACCGATATAATCTGAGGTGAAAACATTCTTAGCTAACTTCTCATACTCCTTTGCCTGCAGTATAAGCGATAAGAAGTCCTTTGAACTATGATCTTTTTCCTCCATCCTCTTTGCCACTATCTCATCTAACCTCTTGCTTAAATTCTTGTTTGTTCTTTCTACTTTCCAGTCCATAATGCCAGAAATTCTCTTTAGGATTTGGCGAAATGTCTCTTGAAGAATCGGAACAAGCAATCCCAATATGATTGAAACAGAACCTGATAAGTCCATTTTGAGTTGTGTTGTGGAGTAAATGTGCTGATTGATGAATTCTTGGACTTCACTGTCATTTTGCTCATGGTTCATTTTGTCTGATATTGTGTTGGAATTGGACGTAGTCCTAGTTGTTTTAGCGTGTCATTACTAAATTTTGTATTTCTGTCTGGCCAGCTTTTGTCTTGAACCGTTTAAAACCAAAAAAATAAATTGGAAATAATCGAACCGAACTTTGAAAAAACCGCACCGAACCGTAAATACTTTGGTTTGATTTGGTTATTAATATTACAAAACCGAAAACTGATAAACCGAACCGTACTTTCATAATAACCGACCGATGCCCACCCTTACCCCACCTGCTGAGATCAAACTAGGTCTGTTGTTGTTGTAAACAGGTATATTCATATGGAATCAAATCTATGTAGCTGTATTCAGATGTATTTGGTTGGATTTGTATATTCAAATCAGACACAGTGTATAATAGATTGTATAAGTATGTATTAAACAGGATGTATTCGAATGTATTCAATAAGTAGTGTTTAGCAAAATTTAACAGACTGTATTCATATGTATACAGATGTATTTGTTTGGTTTGTATATTTAGAAAGATTATACAATCTCAAATCCAAACACATTTTGTATCTAGATTTATTTAGATGTATTCAAAAAAATGAATGACTTATGTATTGCTGAATGACACATGAAATCTTTTTATAATACACTCATATTCATATGTTTATAACAGTTTTTTTCCGTATGTAGTCAGACGTATTCGAATATAGACTATGAGTGTACCCTGAATTATGTATTCACACAAAAATCGAATACACTAACTAACTATATCTAGAATCTATTCACGAAAAAATCCAAAATGTATTATTTTAAAATGTCACTTGAATCTATGACACATCGTTGTAGCACTAATACAAGTCAGAATGTGAACTAAGTCCTACTTGGGGCATTTCTACACGTTCTCTTATTATGTCCTCCCTGCCCACATATGCTACATGAATGTTGATTTTTCTGCTGCAACAATTCACTAAATGGCTTATCGCGTTTCTTCTGTGGCCTTCCAGGAGGTCTTTTCCATTTGGGTGGTAATACAACTTTCTCTAAAATATGTGCTGGTATATTCCATTTATTTCAGTCCGGCAACGGATACACATGTACATTGTATGTCATTACAGTAGAATTTGATTTGTAATAGTTAGAACAATAATCTTCTGGCATTAGAAACTTTCTCTTCAATACAGCCCAAGCGTGCGGGCATGGTAATTCGTTAACTTGAAACCTCCCACAAATACATTTTCTCTCTAACAGGCACACGGTGTACTGCCTCTCTTCATCGTTCACTGTATGCAAGTATTCAGTCGATGGTACCACCTACATTTAAACATAGACCTATAAGTTTTGAACACATATAAACAAAAAAAATTCATTTATATACCATATAATAGACGTATTAAATTTACAGCAGTATGGATTAAATCAAATATGTATTTAATACAAATATATTTTTGTATATAGAATTCAGAAATATGCAGTTGTATACAATGAAATTGTTTGAATACAGAAGAATACATCCTATTTCAAAAATAATGATATCTTACCTTTTGAATATATTTATATACATTAAATATATGCTTATGAAATGCATATGGATAGAAACAAAAATATTAAATTCAATTAACAATACACTAAACATATGGACTGTATTTCAAATAGTATAAATTGTGTTAGAAAAAATTAAACCTTGTACACGGGCTAAATATATGATACAATAACATATAAAAATAAAACTTACGGTCATGCGTGTAGACATTGCCTCATTCAAAGTAAGCATCTCCTGGAATTCTTTTTCAAGAGTTGTGTATGTCTGTGTAGCTACTTTCCAGTTTCTGCGATTCCAACATCCAAACATCTTCCTAACTTCTTCGAGGAAGTCGTATATTAGCAATTTTCTTGCTGACACTTGTGCAACATTGATTGACTCAGCAATATTTGACGTCATTGTCCATCCCCTGTTAACAAGTGCATACAACCTAGCCCACTTTTTGTATCCAACTAACTCCAAGTAATCTTTCACCCTAATATCTACCTTCTCCACCTTCTCCATTAGACTGTCAAATTCAGCCTGTGTGTATGCTTTTGTCATCGAGAAGTATATCTCGCTCAACTCTACATGGCTCTTTTTGAATTTCTTATATGCGTTATTCCACAGATGCCATATACAAGCAAAATATGATACATCTGGATACACTCTCGATACAGATTTGATGATACTCTCATTCCTATCTGAAACGATGCACATGTTTTCCCTTTCACCATATGCTTTCTTGAATTGATCAAAGAACCACGACCAAGCAGCATCGTTCTCTGAATCAATAACACCATATGCTAGTGGCAATATATCACCTGTAAAGACAATTGCATACATATTTTTAAAATATGTATTTCAATCTTTAAAATGGAACTCATTTTATTTGACATAGGTATTAATATTAACAAATTTTATTATAATCCACATACTCACCTGTACCATCCAACGTGCTGGCCGAGACGAATGTTCCGGTGTAATAAGATTTTAGGTGACTTTCATCCACAACCACAATGGGTCGACAATGCTCGAACCCTTTTATAAAGGCATACAAAGATATACACATACATGAACTTATTTTCTGGCCATTTTACCAATCTAATGTGCGAACCGGGATATGTCATATCTATTATATATAAGTATCCTGATAATTTTTTGTATGAATCAGCCGATTTACCTCTCAAAAAATTCATTGCCTTTTCTTTAGCCCGCCACGCCAACACGTAGCTAACATCTTCACCTAAATCTTATTTCACATCATTAATTATATCCTTTGGGGTGTATTTCCTCTTATGATTAGTAAGCTTGGGCGTAATCATACAACCTATAAGGCTGCTACTTGCCTGGTATTGCTCATATATCTTGTCCTTCAACGGACATGTATGCTTATCATTGAACTCTCTCACTTTGAATGGTTGTGATTTGTTAATGCTATAAGCCTTAAACCTCCATTCACAATTTTCTAACATACATAATAATTCATAGCTGCAAAGAATTTATCAATATATATATGATCAGTATAAATGCTTACAAAAAAAACACTCATATACATTTGAATATATTATTACATCTATATATATAAATTATCATACAACACAAATATATACAATGGTATACATTTAAATATTTCTGAATACGCCTATAGTTATATGCATATATTTAAATACAACTAATACATCTAAAAAAATAGTGAGAGCCACTGTAATAAGTTTTTACCAGTATAATACAAAAGAATACATGTATTTGAAATACATAAAAAAATAGAAAAGTACAAATGTGAAGGTCAAGTAAAAATTCCCAAATACACCTAAATACATCTATATACCATTCACAACTCCTACCATGAATACAATATACAAAAAAATAATGAATAATTAAGAACACTCAAACCTGATAGCATTAGACCTATCAACCCGGAATTGAAACCTTTCAGATATAGCATAATGCTCCATCACCTCTTTTAATGTAGCCTTATCCTTATATACTTCTCCAGCCATAACCTCCCTTTGCTTAGCTTTTGAATTTATCAAATCCTTGTCCAGTTCGAACACCCCAATTGGTTAGCCTGAATTGACAACATCAACAGCAAGTGTATTATCTGTAATAAAATTTATACCTTTGAACTTCTTCGTCTATTTGCACAATGTTACCTTGAATTAAACTACCTCCGGCTACAACTTCTTTGTCAATTGTTGTTATGCACAAAGGATACATTCCGAATTCTTTGTTCTTTTTTTTCAACTCTACATACACCCTGTAACCCATATCATTGTGTATTTTCATTGGCGTTCAATTTCTTTCTACTTTGTATTGAATTTAATGGACTTTGAGCTCAAATCTATGTCCAGTTGCTTAGAAATTGACGCAACCAAATCATTATACGACACATACTCCTTTATCAGTATTCCCTCAATCGAATAATTGACGTAGTTACTCTCACCGTTTCACTTGCCAGAATGACATAATAACACGGTTAAACTTGTCATATATAAACTCGAATTAAATCGAATTTCTGTATACAATTGTATCAATCTCGATTTTTCGTGGTTGAAAACAGAACTGGGTATAAACTGGAACAATAGAAAAAAGGGAGAATAGAAAATCCAGAGATTGCTCTATTTTTTTGCTATTTTTCGGATTGAATATCTTTCTGGAAGCGTGAATTACAGATTATGGGTGATATAATTGTGTTAGTTGAGTTATATTAGGAGACTATTTTGTTAATTGATTCTGTTTCCGTTTTTAAAATAGTTGACAGGTCCTTTTTTTAAGCAATTTACGTTACTATATTCACGAATACGGCTCGTGAATATAGTCGAATACAATAACTGATTAGCTAGCCTCCCCTGATTCACGCCTATTTTTGCTATTGTATTCATGAATACAGTAGCTTAAATACATCAAATACATCTTATAATTACAGAAAATGTATCTACAAGCCGTAATATAACAAATGGTATCTATAAATAGCTAATAACTACTAAACAATAGTGCTTTATGAAAATTTCTCTACTAAAAACTGTCATCTTACTTTTACTAGAAGAGATGATTCAATGGTGTTACTTTCTATTTGTGTTGGACTTTCATTCCGTGTCCGAAAGATTTTTGGGAATTTAAAATTTGTTATACAGGGGCTGCTATATCGACCAACTATATATCTATAACATTAGAACAAAAAAGAAAAGGGATTTACGTTACATCTCAACAAATGAAGTTCCTATGCTATCTACAATTTTATCATGCCCTTTTTTATTCGTACCTTGTTCCTGATAACCTTGACCTCAAAGCAAACTAGTATTAGAGCAATTATCTACTTTTAATTTTAGTGTCACGTGGTGCAAATATTACGTTATTTAACAGAATTAAATTTCTAGGAAATGAAGATGTTTTTTTAAGGATTTTTTAGGGTCATAATCTTCAAATCAAGTTTTATTTTGTTAATTTTTATTATACGCAGGAGGAAGTGGGATGAAAAATGAGGGAGTAGTGAGGAATATGTGTGTGTGTGGATCTTTCTGCGCTTATTTTAGGCATACCAAATCACACAGTCAAATTTCTTTATTTTCTATTGACGGATTCAGAATTAACAGTGTGTGTTTTGAGCTGACAGGGTAGCATCGACTGAAGCACTAAATTTTGTTGAACTCATGGTTATACTTATATTCACACTATTTTCCTCCCACCAAAAAAAAAGGAATTAGATGATTATGTATTATAATACTACACGCATTCTAATTTTTCTATATAAAATTAGATTACAACATGTTTTCCCGATAACTTGGTGTAAAATATTCCCTCATAAATAAAACTAAAAAAAAAAAAAAAAAAGCTCTTCAGATGAAGGAAGAGAGCACTTGACCAAATCTACTTTTTAAGGTCATAAAGTCGTTCTAAGAAAATAACCATGATTAGCATTACTTTCAAACTTCAAGTAGTCCTGTTACCTCTACTTTGACTCCTTTAATTATTCAGTACCCTTTTATTAATTTAATAATCTTTTATTAATTTATAATTAGATAAGAACACTAAATAATAGGGCTTCCTTTCTTCTTAAAGCCACAGAAACAAACTGATTTTACAATGAACACCCACCATGCCGTATGTCGGGGTGACATCCTGTCATTTAAAACACAATTTCTTTCCAGAAATTTGGTAGTTTCTTATATTCTTTTAATCTAAATAAAACCAAAAATATAATACCTTAGATTAGACTACATTCAATTTTATTAAAATATACATAGACTATAGTCCTTAGTTTTATGTTTCCAAGGTTTTGACCACACGAGTGAGAATCAAACCTTTAGCCATTAGATAAAATGAAAGAAAACTTGTAGGGCCATGAAATATATAGCGTCATCCAAATATGATCGATTAACTAAGAGGTTTAATAAGCTAATTATATTATTATTTGACCCAAAAGATATTGAAATCTTTTTGATTAAATCAATTAAAGAAGATGAAGAGGTAAATCTTAGTCAAACGTAATAAACTCCAGATCTATGAACTTAATTAGAAAATAATGCATAAGACGAAATAGAGGTGAACAATCTTATTGAAGCTTTTGATTTTGCCTCCCATTAATCGATGGAGAAAAACATTTTACATGCTCCCTTGGAGATTGCTTTTTTCTTCCTTCTATTATGAAGGTTACAAGGAAGAGGAAAGAGAGAGAGAAGAAGCCCCCCTTTTTAGAAGGTTTTCCCCCATATATATAATTATGGCATCTTTGCTATGTACTTGGTTCGATACACTTTCCTTCTACGTCCGCCTTCGTCGTCCCCTGAGCGTTGTTCTTTGACTTGGCGGGTATTGTAAGTACGGGTTTTAGAATAAACCATGTCGTCTTCCACTGCCTCGCCGCTTGGACGGGATGTCGGTTGGATCAACCGTAGCGGTCAGATTTGAACCAATACAGTTAGTCCCTCCGTCCGCCGGGGTTGTCCCTTGTCGGGCCTGGCGGACGGACTATGATTGTTACATATCATAGAGAAATCTGACTACCTGCCCCTTGGGTATGATCCTTAGGCTCAAGTAAGGTAACAACGCTCTTTTAATACCCTTGGACCGTTGCGGCTGTTTCAGAACCGAAACGTCATTTGGATCGAAACGTTGTTCGTGGTTGCCTCCATTTTGACACACGTTCCCAGGAAAGTGAAACTTTTCATGCCCTATCAGATTCGATTGGTGACTCTTGGATTTCGTGCTTGGGGATTTATGTCTCTTGTAAATAGAAGGAATACATCATTCGATTGGCACACTCCTTTGCGGTTTACTTGAAAGAACTTTGCGAATATTCTTTCCTTCTGATACTTTGAATTTTTAATTTTCCCCAGTTAGTCGAAAACTTTTATCTTTCCTTTTCTTTATCCATTTGCTTTACCAAATTTACACAAATGGCTGGTGATTCTTCTCGTGCTAACCTCCATGTCTCAATTCCGGCGTCCGAAAGTGATATTCTGACCACCGGAGGAGCAGAAGTGGCAGAGGATGAGGAGATCCCATCGGTGGCCTAGATCTTGCCTCGCCTTGGGAAAGCATGGACTGACTTCTACAGACCCACTAGGGAGAAGCCGGAACCTGCCTCCTCTATTATAAATGAAGAGGGGATCGTAGATTTAAAGGCTAGGTGGAGAATTCCTCGCTACGTCGAAATACTGCAAGCGGTGGGGGACGACATAGTCCATTTTGACCGTCCAGGGTATTGCGTGTTCTACGCCTACCTCTTCATTGTTGGATACACGCTTCCTCTTCCACTCCTGGTGGTAGATTTTTGCCGCTATTATAAGGTATTCCCCGCTCAACTTTCAACGTACCTGTATAAACTGTTCATTATGCTGCTCAAGTTTGTGGAGCTCGCCGGTCGCGAGATCACTTTGGGGCACATGCTCAGTATTTTCGCCCCTCAGCTCATTCGCGGCATGATGATTCACATGCGTTATCGAGGGTCGAAGAGTCTGGTGGTAAAGATGGACGATAGGGATAACCGTCGCTTTTATGAGAATTACTTCTATGTACGGACCGAGCACCTTGTGGCGGATCCTACGGGGTTCCCTGAGAAGTGGAACTTTGCACGTAAGTTTCTATACTTTTAGTGAGAGAGATGTCCTACCGCTTTCCGTTGTAGTACTAAACACCATTATGTTTTTACAGCTGCGAAACTACCCACTGCACCTGTTGAAGGTATCCGAGAGTGGGTGAGTGTTATCCTTCCTCAGACGGCAGGGATCTGCACATGGTCGACCTTCTATGAGAAATATGGATGCAAGCCTCTTACAGGTGAGATGTTTTTTTGTTCGCTATTTTTCCCTTTTCCTTTTTTACTTGATTTCGTATGTGCTATTCGTCGATGTCAGGGAGAGTGCGGAGAGCGGGGGCTCCTCCATTAGCTTTTTGCTAGCCTGCATCGTCTGCTCGCCCTGCTGTAGTGTCTACAGCTCGACCTTCGTCGAGGACTACTTCAGTTGAGTCTACGACTGTGGTCATACCTACGGAGGCCACCTCTTAAACTAAGGTTCTGAGTCGTGCCGCTTACCCGGCTGATGAATCTTCCCGTGTTGAGGAAGGAGAGGGGTCGTTCAAGAGGCGACGAGTGGAGTCCGGAACAACATCTCCGGCTATAATACATCTAGAGGAAGAATCTCCCTTGGCGGAATCTGGGGCGAGGGTTGATACCATTCTGCCTGTAGAGATAGAGCCAGCCGTTGTATCTGCCCCATCGATGGAGATTTCTGCCATTGTCATTGATCAGCAACCTGCCGCGATGGGGGCTCAGATTTCTGAGGCTGCTGTTGTTTTTTCGAACGGGCCTTCGTCCTTAATACCTGGTCGTGCTTCCTCCTCGGCTGTTGAGAGGGTAAAAGGCGTCGTAGCCGATGACTACAAATTTGAGTCGGACCTCGATCCCGATGATGTTAGGATGTTTGAAGAAGGTCTTACTCGCTTGGTGGTTCATGCGGGAGGCCCGTCCCTTATTCTTGAGATCTCATCGAATATTAAT